CTGGCTGGCACACACAGGAATCAGGTCTGGAGTCACCTTTGGTGAGGTTTCTTTGGAGACCCCCTAACTGGACCACTGGACTAAGAACTCCAACCACAGTGAAATCATAGGATCTATGGTCGGATTGTGAAGTACATGTTGCAGAACTGGTCTCCAAGGTTGCTGAGGCCTGTGTAGATGGCATGCCCAGGTGCTTATGGCCGACATGACAGCCAGTTCATCTCCCACCCAAATTCTAATAAACAAAATGAATAATACAGGAAGAAAAGTAGACTCTAACTTCTTAGGAATTCTTAGTGGAAAGAGTGCCAATTATCTGCAGGCAACAAAACAATGAGCATTTTTATATGCTTTTTCTGTATTTTCTACAATAAATGTTCATTAAGTTAATAATTAGTTAAAACTACAAAATGTGTACTCTGGCCATCTTTCCATACTACATTCCTCCAAACTAACTGAAAAATCACAATTTTTCCAATATAAGAGATTCTACTTTGAAGTGTCTCTTCAAAATCAGATGCCACCCCCTCTTTTTCTAACTAATGGTTAATACTAGGGTTATGCATGCAGGTGTAGGGTAACTTGTACAGAAATCCTTTCTGTACTTTTCACGGAGTGTTTCTGGGATATAGGATTAAAAATATAAACTAAACCGAGTACACTTACTCCCTTGGTATCTTGAACAACTGATAAACACTATACCATTTTCCATAGGCTTGAGAATATATTCAGATTTTGATATTGTACAGGGTATCTCCTGGAAAATCCCCTTCTCCCAAATGAAAAGACCAATGTATTTTCATAAAGTCTAAAAAAATTTACCCGTAAATATCTCTAAATTGCTTATAACACAATGTAAATGGCACATAGTTAGTTGTTAAGCTATATTGTTGAGAAATAAGAAAAAAGTCTGTATGTGATTCAATACAGACCTTTTTTTTTCCCCTTAAGATTTTACTTATTTTTATTGGAAAGTCAGATTTACACAGAGAAGGAGAGACAGGAAGATCTTCTGTTCGCTGGTTCACTGCCTAAGTGGCCATGACAGTCAGAGCTGAGCCAGTCTAAAGCCTTCTTCCAGGTCTTCCATGTGCGTGCAGGGTCCCAAGGGTTTGGACCATCCTTTACTGTTTTCCTAGGTCATAAGCAGGAGCTGGATTGGAAGTGGAACAGCCAGGACTCGAACCAACATCCATATGGGATGCAGGAGCATGCAAGCTGAGGATTTAGCCACTAGGCCACCATGAATGACCTTGCTTGACTATCTTTGAGCCCAAATCAGTTCAATTCATGGAGACTACAGCCATAGACATAAAGGCTGGTTTTTAATATAACAAGGTTATGCATGTCTCTTAAATGGGTCTAGATATTTCTCATCCTATGTGATAAATGGAGTTTCTTGTGAGGTACTGAGCACCTAGTAGTGCCAAACAAAACACCTAATTACACATGAGTTTAACATTTTATGTACTTGAAAGGAAAAGACAGTCAGACATCTCAGATCAACTGGTTCACTCCCAAGTGCCTACAACAGCTGGGAGTAGGCCAGAGAGATGCCAGGGGTTGCAGGGATTCAACTGAACTGTCGCTTGCTGCTTCACAGGGTATCTGTATTAACAGGAAGGGGGAAATCGGGATCAAAGCTGGTACTAGATCCTAGGTACTCTGATAAGAGATGCAGGCATACTGAGCAGTCTTAACCATTAGGTCAAACAGCATTCTCAAATGGAACAGTTAAAAACAAAGTCTATCCTATGGGTAGGCTAGAGACATGCTAACTCTGGAGGTTTTTGGCAAACATAACAGCAAACAGAAACAGTAACAGTTTAATGAAGAAAGCTCACAGAAAAAGATATTTGTCTTGATCTTTGTGGACACTTACATACACCTTATTTGTACTAAAAAAGCACATTCCTGGCACCCATGTGGGAGACTCAAATAGGCTCCTGGCTCGTGACTCATCCAGCCCTGGCTTCTGCTGCCATTTGGGGAGTGAACCAGCACATGGAAAATCTCTCTCTCTTTCCTTCTCTCTCTGTAACTCTTCCTTTCAAATATAAATAGCATAAATCTTTATAAAAATAATAAAGAAGAAAAAGAAAGAAAAGGAACTTACGGCTCCCAGATCAACACTTTAAACTGTTTGGATAAAGATAAATCTCCATTAAGCAACGAGATGACTTTACTAGCACAGTACTTACTATACACTTCTGCATTTCATAAAACTAATGCTGCAGTCAATATTTTCATTTTGAAATCCTTTATAGCTTTCATTAATTAAATTTACTGGCAAATAAACTGTTTCTCTGACCTCGTAAAAATAATTTCCCTTATACATTTCAAATAAAAAATACAGAGAATAGGGCAAATCAAAATAGTTCTGAGATAAAATTAGAAATTATTAAGTTTACATGTCTAAGCAGCTTATTTCTCTATTTTTATTTTTACTACAGCAAATATTCTTCCTTTCATAATGTGAACCTTCTATAACTTGCACCATCAATTTGGGTTATCTTTATTAATCTTTTTTCCAACAAGACTGTTCCTAAATTCCTCACAGAAGTTAGAAAAACTGGTCAACAGAATTATTCAACAACTTAACAAGGAAATGTACTACATTTTCTGATTTTCTTAGTTCTGTTTTTCTGCACCCAATGGACATTCTTGTACCAATTCTAGATAAAGTGAAGAACTATTTCAAACTCTGGCAATATAATTTGCAACAATACCCAAAAGTTAGATTGTATGGTAACAAATCATATAATGAAATAAAATTTCATTGCAACTTAGTTGTATGTAACTTTCAAAATGAATCAAAAATTTCTGAAACTAGAAATGTCTAACAAATTTAACTCTACAACTTTTACGGCAGAGAAAGAAGCATTAGAACTTCATGTAACACAAGAAAAGAACTTCATATTAAACTCCTTCTCAATCTAAATAAGTTAAAACAATGCACAAGTTTTTTAAAAAATGGATCTCAAAAGTTGGGATAAACAGTTTTTATTCAAATTACCCTATACTAGTTTCACAACGTAACAATAATAATAAAATGTTTGAATGTATGGATATACTTGGTGACACACATTTTATATGTCCATTTATCCCGTTGATATAAATAACACTTTCAAATATTTTATAATACAATATGGCTTCAATGCAGTAGTTTTATTAGACCTGGGAGTCAAATCTGCTGATAAAAAAGCCTGCAGATGCTTCTCAACCTGTGAGATAGCAGCTACTAAGAACTATTCTTTTCCAAGAGACCCATTTTTAAAATGATCCCAGTTTTAAAGTATATCACATTTAAACATTTTTATTTCAACTTGATTTATGACAATTTACAAAACTGATCTCATTAAAGACTCATAAATATAGTATTTTAAAACACAGTGCAATGTTTTCAGTTCCAAAGCCCAGCTTGTCTTTTACAGTCAGTTTGTATAAAGCACAAATAAGGATGCTGAACATCTTATCATTATATTCAATTAATTTAAAAAGAAAAATGCTCCAGTCACTTTAATGTCATTTATCTGATCAAAACCAAAATATACTTTTCATGTTTCAAGATCAGGCAATGTGAAGTATTTCTTATATGCCTCAAACCATCTTCATTTTAAAAGCTCACGTAGAAAGCAAAGAATAAACTGCATTCACTAAGCTATATGATATGCTATAAGACTTGTGAAGACTTGTAAAAGACTGCTTGTAATTAAAAATATATATAGCAACATTTTGAATAACAGGAGATTCACCTTTCCATTTCCAAAGATCCCAAATTTGCAATCGTACATTATTATACCTTGTTGAGATCTATTTTTGTGGAGGAAATATCAAGTACTATACCAGTGCCTTCGAGCTTTACATCCGGTGAGTAACATATCAAGCAAAATTACACAGGGCTCTATCAACAAGTACACTTAGACACGAAATTTAAATGCAACTGCAATACATGATACATCATCCACAATCAACGCTTCCCAGTTTCTGGATCTAGTCTTTTTTGTTTTTTTTTTTCAACAGAATTGCCAAGCCACAAAAAGAAATGCAAAAAGAACTCATTCACCCCCCACTTCACATAATTCCCTTTCTCTAATCTCCAAACAGCCAAAAGATGACATTAATACAAACCAAAATAAGCTTAAGCCAAAGGCCTACATGAAATTTTCACGCAGATGTAAACAACTCTGTAACACTGCAAGCTAATGAAAAATAAACTCCACAGGGCAAGCTAGCTTACGGCCCTTGTACACCCTAGAGATCTAAAAACAAAAACCGTGCCTACATCATCAAGTACTTAGCTTGAAATAGGAAAGAATAACATTGTTACTCGATGTGAACCTAACTAGTTAGGGAATCTATTTTGTCCTCTTCTGCAGTCTTGGGTGCCCAAGTGTTTTCCCTTCACCCACTGCTTTCTCATTTGTCAACAACTTGTGTAGCTCTTTCTCTGGCGTTCGAAGGCCAGGGGAAATGAAAGTCTGAAAAGCATCAGCATCCAAGTTTTCGGTTCTGCAACAGGGCCAGCCGAGAAAGGGACCATTTTGCTCTATTACTCGGTTTTAAATAAACTAAAAAGGTAGCAGTCAAAGGACAGGAGAGAAAGTCCTCTCAAGAGGACCGGTGAAGCAAGTATTTCGTGAGACTTGGCTTTTTTTTTTTTCCTTTCAAAAACTTGTCCGGGGGCTGGAAGTTATGGGGGCGCTCTTTGTGCGGAGTCAGAAGGGAAGAGGAGGGACGAGTCATTCAAAGGGGCTGCAGGCGCGGTGCGCGGGGGGCGCGGGGCGGCGCCCGGCCGCAGGGGTGTCCGCTGGCCGCGCTGACCCCGAGGCAGGGGGCGCTGAGCTGGCGGCCGCGGGGAGCTGGACGCCGAGGGCAGAGCTGCCCCGGTGACAGAGCGGCCGGCGCGGCTTCCCCGGCTTCCCCGACCCCCGCGCCAGACTCCCTCCTCCCCGGCTCCTCCTGGGTCGGCGCCTTTCCGCGCGGGCCGCGGCCCTTACCTGCAGCTCGGTGAGCAGAATCTCTCCTCGTTCGGGGTTGGACGCCATTGCGCTCCGTTCGGGACTCCGCACCTGGACGCGGCCGCCGCTCGGCGAAGGGAGAAGGCGGGACGGGAGCCGGGCTGGCGGGTGTAGAGGGTCGGGGAAGAGAAAGGAGAAAAAAAAAAAAAAAAACCTAGGGATTCATGGAGGCGAAGCCCCTGCTTGGAGGCGCGGCTCACTCGGCCCGGTTCATCGAAGGCGGCGGGGAGCGAGGGCACTGGTGGCGGCTCCCCTCGCCTCCCGGCCGCCGCCCGCGCCGGACCTCCGTCGGCTCAGCCGCTCCCTCCGGGCGACGCCAGGAGCCGCCTCAAAGCCCTCGGCGCTGGGCGCAGCGGCCGCCCCAGCCGCTCCTCCTGTCGCACCATTTGGCTGTCACCGCGTCGCAAAAGCGGCCTCACTTGGCGGCTGCCAGGCACACGTGACGGGCCTGGGCCGCCGCCTCTCGCCGGGCGGGGTTGGGGCCGCGGGGACCCCGAGGACGCGGGAGGCGGAGCGGCTGGCGAGCCGGCTGGGCGGCGCGGGCGACCTGGGGACCCGGCCGGGGTGAAAATGAGGGGAAAGGGCCTGGGCCCGCGTCTCTGGGGAGGCGGGAAGAGGAAGAAAACACACGCCCACTTTCCTGTTGCGCTTAACGGCCTGGCGAGCAGCGCTAGGGCTCGGGAACCCGCGCGCTGCTTTTTGTTTTCCAGTGCCGCCGCGGTCTCTTTCCTTGCCTACTTGGGTAGGCCCTTCTAAGCGCCACAGCTCCAAGAGCTCCGGGGCTGAACCCTTACAGTCCACTCCTTCTGGCAGCCCAGGCGAAGGGTCTTGCCCTTGGCAGCCCCCAGCCTCAGCCCGCCTTTGGGGGGTGTAAAGGTGCGCGGCTGGCGGAACCCGCCTGTGCCTGAACTTTCCGAGAAGCGCACCGACCCCCCCTCCTCATGCCTTCCCTCCAGTGCTGAACTTGCTATGGTTTGGCCAGAGAGCTCCACGGGACTCAAAATTTAATTAGCTGCTTTGAATTGTGTTAACCGAAGGGGTGTGGGGCGGCATCAGCCTGGAGAATGGAGAAAAGCCAACTTTGCTTGGTGAAGTAAACATGAAAGCTAACATGTACTTAGTAACAGGTAGTGTGTGGTGTCAGTATAGGTTGTTCCAAAATGTTACTGTGGCGTTCCGAAAAAGTCTCCAACAAGCAACTTTTTGTTTTACTTTAGCATGAGTTGGTATTTTGGCCACATCTGTATTCGATGCTCAGATTTGCCTGGAGCCAGAAAACAGGTCATTTACAAACGTAACTAACACGGTAACCTGCTTCTTACAAAGTATGATGTTATGTCCTCTTATAATCAGTTGGGCTGTTGGACTAATGCTATAACTTAGAGATACGTATTTATCTCCTTAAGTTCCAGGGACTAATTCAGGATGCATTTACTGAGGAGGGAGTTGTGTGGCCACATTTTCTGAACTTCAAGACTAATTGTAGAAAAAGTCTAAAAACTTCACAACTAATTTTATGTTTAGTGAATCATCTCAATTGGAAATGATAATTAAAATGCGTGAAGTCACAACATTGTGTGTGTGTGGGGGGGAGGGGCAGTAGCTAAATGTCTCCAGCCCTGCAGTTAAAACTGGGACTGTTGCAGTCCCAGCTCTGCTTGTGGACCAGGAACATAGCGGGTGATGTGTCAAGTGCGCAGGACCCACAGCCCATCTGGGAGAGCCTATGGGCCTGGGCTTTGGCCTCAGTACTTGCTGTCCTGGATGTTTAGAAAATGAACCAGCAAATGGAGGACATCTCTCATTCTCTTTTTCTTTGTCTCACTGTTTCCCTGCTGTCACTCTGCCCTTCAAGTAGATTTAAAGAAATAAAAACTCAAAAGAAATTTGAATGACAGGTAAAAAAAAAAAAATCCCAGGGCAGTGTTGCAAGCATGCAATCTGCAGATACTTTTTATTTTGTTCAGAATACATATAACAAGCTTTACATTTCTGGGCATTTTTGCATGGAGATAAGTTTTGCTGCTTTTTTTCTCCCTTACTCCAGAATGGATTTGAAATGACTGATGTATGCATAGTAAGGGATTAATATTGATGAATTGGAAATTATTTATGCAAGGGCTTAAAATGCAGTCAGTGAGGATTCATCTTAAATAAGTATGTAAGAGAAAATGTTCACATTTCAGCACTATGGTGATTTACAATGAGAGTACATTTAGAATATATGTCCTATTATAGGTAGAAAAATATAAGCCAAATTTACTTAGAGCAGCGGTGGTAAACATGTAGCCTGCAGACCTTTGAGACCCTCAGAATTATTTGGTCTGGCCATGACAAGGCAACCACAGGCAGGACTCAAAGTTCAATAACTGTGGCACACTAATTTTTTTTAAAGAGTTTATTAATTATTTTTATTGCAAAATCAGATATACAGAGAGAAGGAGAGTCAATGAGAAAGATCTTCCATCTGATGATTCACTCCCCAAGTGATTGCAATGGCTGGTGCTGCGCCTATCGAAGCCAGGAGCCTCTTCCAGGTCTCCCACGCAGGTGCAGGGTCCCAAGGCTTTGGGCCGTACTCGACTGCTTTCCCAGGCCACAAGCAGGGAGCTGGATGGGAAGCAGGGGCCGCTGTGACTAGAACCGGCACCCATATAGGATCCCGGCGTGTTAAAGACGAGGACTTTAGCTGCTAGGCCACGTTGCCAGGCCTGGTACACTCATTTTAAAATGATAATTTTGTATTACTCATTAATGATGTTATAAATATCCAAATGTCGCTTGGTAGACAAAAGATTCCTCATGATTGTTAGAGCAAGACTTTATGTGGGAGAGTGGAATTAAAAGATTATTTTGGTGCAAAAATGTTTTGAAATCATGAGCAGTCTTTAAAAATCTCATAAAATTGCAATTATGAAGAATGCATGGACTTTTTATACAAAAATGCCTTTTAATTCTGCTTTTCACAGCTTTTGAAGTATGTTAATATTACTAAGTAGCAGAGTGGAGATGATAAGTCTCATAGTTTCTACTCATTGTCAAAAATACACTGTGCTGATATAAAACGTTAAAGTGCTCATTTAGACAGATCTCAAAGCATTAGACTCCCTTAAATGTTTGTCACAGAAAGACTAAATTTTGCATATGCAAAATGCTAGAAGAGTAATTGTTTTAATGATAAATATCACATATAAATGCAAGTAAAAAATATACAAAATTCCATTGCAGGAATTATTTTTATTATTTATTTCTTTATTTCTTTATTTTTATGCAAAGACAGATTTACAGAGAGAAGGAGAAACAGAGAAAGATTTCTCTGCTGGCCCACTCCTCAAGTGGCTGCAATGGCTGGAGGTGAGCTAATCTGATAAACTAGGAGCCTGGAGGCTGTTCCAGGTCTCCCACACAGGTGCAGGGTGCCATGTCCCAAGGCTTTTGGACTGACCTCTGCTGCTTTCCCAGACCACAAGCAGGGAGTTGGATAGGAAGTGGAGCAGCCAGGACATGAACCGATACCCATATGGGATCCTGGCAGATGCAAGGGTGGATTAGCCATTAGGCTAATGTGCCAGGCCCATATAGCAATTATTTCTGAGAAAGACCAGCACAAATCAAAACTACTTGACAATCTGGAAAGTGTGATAATTTAAACAGCAAATCAAGCTAAAAGCTAACCTAAATCATTGTTGAATCAGATGTGTTCTATTCACAAATGTGCTTAGCAAATCATAACTATGGTTCACCTCAAGTTATATTCTGATTTTTATTAGTATCTTGAAGAAAGCTGTAAGTTTACAGTTAAGTAAGAGGGCCTAAAGTGTCTGAATTGTATAATTAGTCATATAGATATTTTTAAAAATTCTTCATGGATTGTTTTAATAGTCTTTTTTTTTAAAAGATTTATTTATTTTTATTACAAAGTCAGATATACAGACAGGAGAGACAGAGAGAAAGATCTTCCGACCGATGATTCACTCCCCAAGTGACCACAACGGCCAGTGCTGCGCCAATCCGAAGCCGGGAACCAGGAACCTCTTCTGGGTCTCCCACGTGGGTGCAGGATCCCAAAGCTCTGGGCGGTCCTTGACTGCTTTCCCGGGCCACAAGCAGGGAGCTGGATGGGAAGTGGAAGTGGAGCTGCCGGGATTAGAACCGGTGCCCATATCCTGGCATGTTCAAGGCGAGGACTTTAGCTGCTAGGCCACGCCGCCAGGCCCTAAATAGTCTTTTCAAAAATGACCCAGTATAGGGTCCAGCACAATAGCTTAGTTGCTAAATCCTCACCTTGCATCTGTCAGGATCCCATATGGGTGCTGCTTCATGTCCCAGTGGCTCCACTTCCAATGCAGCTCCCTGCTTGTGGCCTGGGAAAGCAGTTGAAGATGGTCCAAAGCCTTGGGGTCCTGCACCCATGTGGGAGTTCTGGAAGAAGCTCCTGACTTCCGGCTTTGGATCGGCTCAGCTCAGGCCATTGAGGTCACTTGGAGAGTGAGCCAGTGGATTTAAGATCTTTCTCTCTCTTTCCTTCTCTGTGTAAATCTGAGTTTCCAATAAAAATAAATAAATCTTTTTAAAGTGACCAAATATAGAAAACAGTTTCAGTTACTAACAGTTTAAATCATTGTCTTTTATTTTCATTTTCAAGATGGAACAAATGTTTCAAGAAAAATCGTAGTAGAGTTAGTAGAGGTGACGTAGTTGTGTGGAGCTGTTTGCTTCCTGTTCTGTTGAGACAAACAATGATGATCTGGGTCCCCTTGCCCTTGAATCCCATGTGAAATGACACTGGGACTGCATGTCAAGTGAAGGGATAGGACACTTTTTCTTTGTAGGACACATTTTTATTGCCTTCCAGTTTGTCTTTTCAATACTGTGAAGAACTGAGTATTTTATGTTTTTCTTTTGTTGGTTTTGATGTTCACGTTAAAAGGAAAAAGATCTTTCTCTCTGATACACAGGAACACACACTTCAAAGAAATCAGATGAAGGAACAGGGGTAATCAATGTAAAACAAGGAGAGGGAAAAATTCTAGAAAACACAGAATTTGGCCCAGTGTAATGGCCTAGTGACTAAATCCTCACCTTGCATGCCCTGGGATTCCATATAGGTGCTGGTTCATGTCCAGGTTGCTCCACTTCCCCTTCCAGCTCCCTGCTTGTGGCCTGGGAAAGCAGTCGAGGATGACCCAAGGCCTTGGGACTCTGAACCCACTTGAAGGACCTGAAAGAAGGTCCTGGTTCTTTGCTTCAGATTGGCACAGCTGCTTCATCACTATAGCCATGGAGAAGTGAACCAGCAAGGTGGAAGATCTTTGTCTCTCATAAGTCTGCCTTTCAAATAAAAATAAATTGTTATCTTT